GATGCGCCTCACATGCTTCAAGTCGGAAATTGACAAAACTTTACGATGTTCATATTTTTTTTTGTAAAATAAATTGCTGTAGATTAGTGTAGATACCTCAGAACCTCAGAGCCTACCAATATGAATATCGAAATAGCACATACTTTAGCAAAGTAACTTTTCATCGAAACAACGAGAACAAAGAAGGAGTTGAAAGCTATCAATTTATAAAATCTTTTTTTTGTATGTAACAAAAAAAAACACAGTGAGAGTGCGAGCCTCTTTGTATTGCTATTTTTTAATTATACCTTTTTATAGCTTATTTTAGTTAGTAATGTGTTCGAAGCCTTAAAGTATGAGGGTTTTGCGCACACCTTTTGTTGGCGTGATGTGGTTATATTGAAAGGTTTCGGTGGGCATCGAGATTACTTCTTTTGTGGCTAGGGAGTGTGAAAGGGTAACTGCAATGGCGAGGGCATTTTGAAGATATGACACGCGTTAAAGGTAGGCACTCGTATGTAGGTGTATTATTAGTTCTGGAGTGATAATTCACATTGGAACTAAACAATTGAAATCCAACATCATACCTACTGTTAACGTTCGTTATAATTTTTCCTTAAATAAATAAATAATTTTTCCTTAAAAAACGTAAACAAAAGCCAACTAAACTGTATTATTTCATTTAATATGAGTTTCTAAATAAAGTTCAAATACTTAATTAACATTACTAAAGAACACATTGTCTGATAACTTAGAGACAATCTAAGTTAATCTTCTAATATTTGTTTTTGATGTTAATAACTAAAGAAGCTTCTTATTAAGTCTTAAATGAACCACAATAATGTAGCTTTGTTTGAAAACTAGTAATATTAAAATTCAGTAAGGGCAAAGGAGGGCAGTCATCCCAGCATTTTTAAGACAAGCTCAAATTTAGCGCCGGGAAAGAAAAGGAAAATGTTTGCTAAACTTTGCGATTTATTAGTTTGAACAGCAGTATTATAGTCGCTTTGGTTTCATTAATTTTGCTACGGATAATCATAAATTATTCATGAGACGGTAATGTTGAGGATTTTCAATTTATTGATAGATATATAATATCTATTGATATCAATTTATAGATATTATAAGGATGCTTGAACTCGGTGCGGTCAGCAAGATTATGTGCAAAGAGAAGCAACTCATAGATTCGATAGTCGTATTTTATGGTATTTCCACGTTATTACATGAGTTTTGAAAAGACAATAAAAATAAACCCTATATTCAAGTTTAAAAAAAAATGTTTTCCAGAGTGCAGTTGCTATTCTAGAACGTTTATAGCAATCGATAGTCAAAGTACCGACATTAGCGCAGCTCTAGTGTAAGCTTACAAAGCTTTAAACTAGCGAGTTTCCCCATCGTCGTATTTCTCCCTACACATTCTTAATCCTCCGTTGCGCTAACTAGACCTCGTTACGCTAACGTTAAGTTAAATATTAACCGGCTTAGTTAAACCGACGGTGAGCACGTCTTGTTGGCTGTAGGGTATTGAGGTTATGTTCCCTTTAATACCATGTTACGATCGTTAACTGAAATCAACAAGACTTTGGTTTTTGACTATTTTGGCTTAGGTAAAATTCAATCTATCACAACAAAACTTCTTTTTCAACTCAAAACATTAACCCCCTTACTAATAAAACTTACACGCTCGTTGAACAGTGTTTTAAAGTGACGTTTAGTATGGAAATGTCATTTTAAAACAGTGTTCAACAACTGTGTAACTTTTTATTAGTAAGGGGGTAAGTATGTATTACTTATTAACTTATAGATTTAAAAAAAATCGGACTGGAATTAGCTGTCTGCTTCTGTCTTTCTCGAAGACTATAATCCGGGCTTTTTCAAGGCGAAAGTGAAAAGGCACTTACAGGGCAGATATGTACCATCCTAGACTTCATCCCACTTAACACCAGGTGCGATTGTGGTCAAATACCTGCCTTGTTATGCATAAAAAAACCTTTAACCAGCCACAAAATTTTAGAAAGCCACTAGTAATTAATTTTGTTATGACTAAACTGTATTCATTTGAATGTCTTTAAATTGTAGGTACTGTTAAAGTTAACAAGTACTTATTTAAATTCAGTGACCATACTTCGTTGAATCCAAGAAAATAACTCAGCTGTAGCGTTTCGTTTTTGTAAATATTTCCTCCTTTCGCAGTAAACTAAAATAAAACGCCGGCAGCACTGGTTTCTTAATAGGAGTGACAATTCTCTTATTCTATGTTTACTGTAGAGTATTTTTAGTTACAGTTTCTTCAGTTCTGTTTTACAAGAATTTTTAAAAGATGTACCACTGCATCTACATATTTACGTCGAAGACAATATCGAAGATTCTTATCTGAATAACTCAATAGAAACGTATAATATCATATTAGAATACAATATGTAGAGCATATGAACTAAGTCTTGTGTGTGAATTAATTAGAAAAACAAAACCGTATCTATCCATCGCAATATGACTGAGCCAATAACGAACAGCGACTGTTTGCTCCGAAATCCAAAATCTGACACGAACCGTACCAGTATTTCTCACATACGTCATGAAATAACTGCCTCACGCCCGTATTCGCAAACAATACTACGAGGTCTCACAGTGCGCGTGACACACGAACCAATCATAGAGCTGATGTTGTGTGTTCGGTTTGCTGCTTCACTTAAGTAAGCATCGTTTGTGAACACGGGCGTCACTGTTGCAATATTCTCGGCATATTTTCGTGACTATAGGTTGTAAGAATAAGGCCGTAATGTGAAAGGAACACGTTTTATCTCGACATGCCGCTCGGAACTTTATTTTCGTATACATTGCATTATTGTATGAACATCTCTTCACATCCTACGTCTGCCAAGTCACGGTTTTCATTATAAGACTGCGAGTGCTATGCCGGTTACCGCAGCTATCAGATTTAACTTGCTGTTGGCACGACAACGATCCCCTTATCGCTAAACACGGCGAACCTGGCCAAGAAGAAACAAAGCTTTTATTTACTTGTTTATTGGTAATGTAATAAAATTACTTTGTCTTATTAAAAACCTTATTATGGTTTTGTTTTATCTCGCGTGGCCTTAACCTATTGACCACTATAGATATTTATTTATTTTCAGATTTCTGATAGAGAATCCCGTTTAACCAAATATTATGCACGACCCGTTGAAACTGGCAGTTTTAATGTATTTTAGCAGTCATTTTTTCGGCACAAACGCACAACGCATTCAACGCATCGGCCATTTTTCTGGTGTTGTTGTTATAGTCATTTGTCATTGCTTGCGGCAATAAAGTCAAAGTCAAAATTTCTTTATTTGTTTAGACTAATAAATAGTTCTTACAAATCGTCATTTTGCTCTTAAGGAGCCTCTACATGTCTCATAATCTTTTTACCCTACCAGCGCTTAGAGACCAACATTTGGCAATGCTCGTTTGAACCCATTTAGATAAAATAAAATGCATGAAAACGTCAAGTCGTGCTTATATCGTGCCGTATACTTTGTATGTGTATGTGCTTTTGTTTAAAATTCAGCAAATTCTTTTCAAAACCAATAGTAAGGTTCACCTCCTCACGTCACGTCTGACCATGCTTGCCTAAGACTGCAGGGAATCGGATTAAACTGGTTATTACGTTTCAAGGTGCACGGGCTATCGATCCGAAGCTGTTTCGTCAATTGTTTGGAGAGAAGCCGAGTAAGTAGTCTTGAGTTAGTTTGTTAGCCTTTTGAGTGAATTTTATTATGATTACTAAGCAATACTATGCAATTCGAAAATAGAGTGTCTGCCCGTCGAGTTGGCTAGGATGTCTTTTTCAAAAGCTTCTTATGCTAGAACTTAAGACATAATATTGCAAAATAAATTGCATGCGGCTATTAATCGATGTCTTCTTTCATAAAGGTTACTAAACCTTTGTTTGTCACCTGTCATCCGTTTTGCAACGGAAGGAAGTTGAACCTTAACTTCGAACTCCTCCNAAGGGTGCGCTATGTTCTTCTGAAATTTCGTTGCGGGTCCAATGACAGTTTAACTTTCCCCCGGGACAAACTTGACCTTCACTGGTTGAGTTTTTATAGGCGGTCAAGCTGTAGATTCTGGCTACACAGGTGTTGCAGCGGTGGGTAAGAGAGGTGGGAACAGTCCCATATTAATCGAAGTCACTTAGCGCTCTTTTACTGTTTTCATGAAGTTAGGGACTGAATATTTAAATAGCATTGTGATTATGGAATTTATAATGACCGCTTCATCGTGCAGATTGTGGCTTCAGAGCAATTCAAGATTTGTTCAAATGTTTGAGTCAAAGTTTGCCAAGCACGCAGGAGCTTGGTTCAATTTATTAGCTTTGAAGTGTTAAATTAATTTCTAAAATTAACTTTTCTAATTTGTCACGGTGGAGACACCTTCGCAGCTGTTTGAGGAGCTAAATTAAAATTATCACGCCGGGCCATAGAAAACTTATTATAAAAACCTATAAAAGTCTTTGAACCTAAAAGTTCGATCCAGATTAAAGGTATCCATTATTTAAACATTTTAAGTGTTCAGATATTTTATATCACTCAAAATAAAACCTGAAGAGGTAGGTACTTAACTCAAGTTATTAAGCTATTATTATAGTTTCTTTTTAATTAACAGAAGTCCATTATTTAATTTTTCCAATCTCCAATATTTGAATTCTTTTGTAATTTATTTTCTGGACTATTCCCATCGTTGCAACTCCTTTTTAGCCGAAAATTTACAGCTGGTCTCAGAGGAGAGTTAAACTGTCATTTCGTAATCTATTTAATAAAATCCTAGCTGTACCCGCGACTTCGTACGCGTGAAAATAGTTTAAATATTTTTTCTGGTTTTCTCTTTTTCTTATTGGTGCTCCGCTCGTATTAGTTAGAGCGTATTTTAATATAATTTTTCAATTGAAACCTTTTTTTGATATACGCGCGTTCTACCCAGCAACATACTCCTCAGTTTTAAAATATTAGTAAGTATAGATGTACAAAAGGTACCCTTACCTCCTGCGGCTCGGAGTCGACGAACCAGTCGATGGTGGCACCAGGCAGGGAGTAGTCGGAGGTGCAGTTCACGAGTGCGTTCTCACCCGCTTGCACCAGCGTGGGAAGCCCTGTGATGAGTGGGTCGTATTCTGGGAGCACTGAAAATAAAGCAGTAGTTTGAATTCCGCTTCTAATAAAGCTTCTAATTCTATCGTAACGGTTCGGTGGTGGCACCAGGCGGGGAGTAGTCGGATGTGCAGTTCACAGGCGCATTCTCTCCTGCCTGCACTAGCGTGGGAAGCCCCGTGATGAGTGGGTCGTACTCGGGGAGCACTGGAAATAAGGGGCAGTATGAATTCCGCTTCTAATATAGCTTCTACATCTATCGTAAGGGTTCGATGGTGGCACCAGGCGGGGAGTAGTCGGAGGTGCAGTTCACGAGCGCGTTCTCACCCGCCTGCACTAGCGTGGGAAGCCCCGTGATGAGTGGGTGGTATTCTGGGAGCACTGGAAATAAGGAACAATTTAAGTTCCACTTCTAATACAGCTTCTACTTCTATCGTAAGGGTTCGGTGGTGGCACCAGGCGGGGAGTAGTCGGAGGTGCAGTTCACGAGCGCATTCTCATCCGCCTACACCAGTGCAGGAAGCCCTGTGATGAGCGGGTCGTACTCTAGGAGCACTGAAAATAAAGAGAAGTTGGAATTCTACGTCCAATACTGCTTCTATTTCTATCGCAATGGTTCATTGATGACGCTGGGCAGCGAGAAAACGGAGGTGAAGTTCCCCAGTGTGGAAATCTCCATGATGAGTGTATCGTAGGTACTCTAGGAGTACTGGAATTATGGAGCAGTTTGTGTTCTACTGTGAAGTTAAGGGGATCTGATGGTCAATCTGGTGAAGGTTGCTGGTAGCATCTTTTAGTGGGTAACGCTGAAACGGTCGTCGTTGAAATCCTTGGAGACTTATCCCACAGAGACGTCATTTAATTTATCAAAAGTCTGACAACAAAAATGATACACGAAAAATGAATAAAGCTTATTTGATTCAAATGAGAATACATCAGTCACAAAACACGACTGTTACCGCTTTCTATATCCCATCAAATTGTCAAAAGTAAGGTTTATGATATTTTATGGCTCGATCAATGATAAATGTTTTCAAATGGCACGAGCGTGCTACGTATTAAACTTGTGCACTTTGGCGTGTTCAGAGTCGAATAAATAACGTGTGTAAAGTCAATAATGTCTGTATTATTTACGGGCGACACGAGCGATATTCGGTTTATACGTATCAGCTGCGCACAGCACAGTAAGTTCCGGATTCCGGAACGACAGCTATGTATAACGGCGCATCAAGGTAAACAATGGTAGCTCATGCGGGTGTAATAGTCGCAATTTGTCAACAATAAACGATAGCATTTATCAATGTAAGCGATAAACTTCGGCTGGAGAGTCTTAAACATTGCAATGACTAGGTATAGATTGACTGACTGAAAAATATAGATTTTTTCAGAAAAGATTTTTTCAAAAAATATACATTTTTTCAGTCATCATAGGTATCTAAGTATAGAATCTTGCTAAGCTAAAATACTATATGCCTTTACTTGAAAAAAAATGTAAATTGGTCATAAACGAGAACTTTTGATAACTGAAACGCGCTACGTATGGTTTAACGCCCATATTCACAAACATTACTATGAGCTCTCACAGTGCGCGTGGACGCACAGGATAACACACGAACCAATCACATAGCTCTATCCAACGGCTGTGCGTTCGATTTGCAAGTATCGTTTGTAAGTACGAGCGTAAGTCATTGAGCCAAACCGCACGCATTTTCAGTTATAAAGCTGTCACCATATGTTCCTCGGAGAACAATGAACCAGAATTCCAATTTGCGGATCTAATTGAGATTAAATCTAATAGTGGTGCGGTGGCTGTAGCTATTACTAGGTAATTTAGCTCTTGAGTAGGAATATTAGAAAATAAGGCACAATGTCAGCCAAGGATTCATCACTATAACTGACACTAACAAACAGTCACCTGCTGGACACAGGCCATCAATACGCGTTATATTACCCCATTCAGCTTTTGCAGCGAACTTTCGCAAGTTAATCTCCCCGCCTTATCTTGGGATTGACAAGAATAATAATAATTCTACATTTTTGTGTATTAAATGCACAATTACCTCCTTATTAGAGACAGTCAAAGAAAAACACGAAACGCCTTTGTAATCAATCGCCAAGTATGTTGCTCGTTCAAAAAGAAAATGAACTCGCTTCTGAACACGTTTCGCATCATAAATAAAACTGTTTGAACTAGTGATACGGTGAAATCAAATGTGAAGGACGTTTTTCGGTACAACTTCAGCCTCGTGAAGTTTGACCCACTTTTAAATCTTTGCTGGTTATGTTGTGGAAATTGAGTTTTTCACATACGTGATATGAATAAATAACAAAATGGTACTCTGTTCTGCAAATAAGAAGTAAATTAACGAGAATTTCGTCTGTCCAAGAACGAAAGAATTTTGTTTCGGCGTTATGACGAGAACCAGTTTGAGAATAAACTTGAAAGCTCATAAATTCGATATTATTTATGAAATACACAATTTACGTTAGGGAATTATACTTGAGGTTCTACCTTCAATTACGAAATCACTTGACTTAACGAGCTTTGGCACAAAATTTAGGCCAAAACCTTTTATACTTATTACGTACTAAAGAATTTTTGGAATAATCATATTGCTCAACAAGTTCAAGGTTCAAATCAGTTAAATATTTATTTGGTTCTTAGAATACTGGTCTTGGGAATTAGTCCCGCCGACCTGAAATACTTTGTCAGCGATAATAGGAACAGTTTCTTGTGCCATGCGTATTTTATTTGATTACGTTTGATTGCAAAGTAATATACATTTACAGTGTCTCTCGTTTATGACTAAAAGAACTAGGTACCTACGTTTCTTTCTGAATGCAACTTATCGTAAAAGGACTAAAAAGGCTCTCTCAAATAAAACGCTTTGAGCCGAACGTCAGTCGTCTGTTTGCTGAACTGCAGGAAATTGTATGACAACACTGTTGGACTAACAAATACAGGGTGGCCCAGAAGAAAGTTCACTTTTGAAAATTCAAGGAAACGAAAACTATACATTTTTATAGAACTTTAACTATTTCAATTTAAAGGAAATTTTATGGAATTTATTTTAAAATTTACATAAATTCCATAAAATTTCCTTTATTTTATAAATTTTATCGTACATGTGGGAATCACATTGACGTTTACAACATTCGGTCAACATACATAAAAATTTTGGAAAACTTTCGTTACAGTTATCTCGAAATGGATTCAGGATGGATACAGTTTTCGTTTCCTTGAATTTTCAAAAGTGAATTTTCTTCTGGGCCACCCTGTATTAAATTTACCAACAGTTACGACCTTGCAAACACACAACTGACATCCAGCTCCAGCTGGAAACCTCGCAGGTGTAGGTACTTGGCTGTGCCGCTTTCGGGCCCACGCTGATGACGCACGCGTCATACTACACGAGGACTCACCAGCTAGCGTCATGTTAGCGGAGCGCCGGTCCACAGCGAACCGCGGTCCCTCGCTGGAGACCTCGCAGGTACTTGGCCGTGTCATCTCGGGCCCACGCTGATGACGCACGCTTCATACTACAACATGAGGACTCACCAGCTAGCGTCATGTTAGCGGAGCGCCGGTCCACAGCGAACCGCGGTCCCTCGCTGGAGACCTCGCAGGTACTTGGCCGTGCCGCTCTCGGGCCCACGCTGATGACGCACGTCATACTACAGCACGAGGACTCACCAGCTAGTNTGACGCACGTCATACTACAGCACGAGGACTCACCAGCTAGTGTCATGTTAGCGGAGCGCCGGTCCACAGCGAACCGCGGTCCCACGCTGGAGACCTCGCAGGTACTTGGCCGTGTCATCTCGGGCCGACGCTGATGACGCACGCGTCATACTACAGCACGAGGACTCACCAGCTAGTGTCATGTTAGCGGAGCGCCGGTCCACAGCGAACCGCGGCCCCTCGCTGGAGACCTCGCAGGTACTTGGCATGACGTCAGGATGAGCTCAGCAGTCTGTGCGTGATGAGCTTACAAGTGCCAGTGTGCTCAAGTCTGCGGTGAGTCGAGACGAGCAGGTTGCGAGTGGCCGTGCCGCTCCCGGGCCCACGCTGATGACGCACGCGTCATACTACAACTCGAGGACTCACCAGCTAGCGTCATGTTAGCGGAGCGCCGGTCCACAGCGAACCGCGGTCCCTCGCTGGAGACCTCGCAGGTACTTGGCCGTGTCATCTCGGGCCCACGCTGATGACGCACGCGTCATACTACAACACGAGGACTCACCAGCTAGCGTCATGTTAGCGGAGCGCCGGTCCACAGCGAACCCGAACCGCCGATGGCCCCTCGCTGAAGACCTCGCAGGTACTTGGCCGTGCCGCTCTCGGGTCCACGCGATGACGCACGCGTCATACTGCAACACGAGGACTCACCAGCTAGCGTCATGTTAGCGGAGCGCCGGTCCACAGCGAACCGCGGTCCCTCGCTGGAGACCTCGCACGTATACTTGGCCGTGCCGCTCTCGGGCCGCACGCTGATGACACACGCGCGCGCGTCGCACGAGTTGTTCGTGATCGACACGCCCGTGCTGTTGAAGGCTCGGGTCTCGTACTGGAAAGAAAATAATAAATTAGTACCTAGAAGGCAAAGTCTTGGATTTATTTGGCTTTAAACCTAACTCCGTAAAGTCAAATGAAGCTATTCTCATGATTTGACTCTCAGGACTTCTCCTGCTGAATGCAGGCCAAAGATTTCCAGATTTTCTAGTTGGAAGCGTTAATAAATCAACAGCAGATTCAAGTAACTTCCAACCAAGTCACTCAGATTCCCAAAAATAACTCTGGACCTTTGCAAAAAAGTCTTTTCTTAATGCACCTTTTATACCTACTGCTAACTCGGTCAGACGGAAGCTCGTTTATTTAAAAGCATAAGTCATCACAAACGAAACTTTTCCCTTATAATGTGAAAGTAAAAGATAGAGAGAGCCCATCGGTTTTTTCCCAGCAAACTCGAGAGAAATTCCCCCATTAGTTTTTTCAAGTCTCCAAACTACTTAATAAAGTCCTCGCTTGAAAAACAAGAACTCTTCAAAAGGAAATTAGACAACGAAAGTTGTCGTAGCGGTGCCTAACAATTTGTGCGCGGGTTCCCGACAGAAAGAACGGCTATCTTTGTTAGATTTTGTAAACAGAACTTTTTTGGGGGCCTTTACTTTGTAATCAGGTCAGTACATTTTATAGGAGAACTAACTGGGTGGCCTAGTTCATGATAAGAGTACAAATACGAGTGTAGACGGTCGCTTCCCTCCATTTTACTGCGAGTATGACGTAATCAAGTCCTAACAAAAAGTACCTACACAATAGATTTTAGTAGGCGACATGGTATTGAAAGTGTCTGCTGGCATGTACAGCGACAGCAATTCAGAATAAAAATGTTTGTCGCAAAATCTGTACGTTCTGTACAAATACAAAGAGTTTTGGATTTAAAGGCTGGACCATTTTATTTTAACTTTGACAAACGTCAAAAATCTGTCAAACTCCATACAAAAAGCACCGGTTATCGTCATAGTTACCGTAAAAGTTAGGTGGTGCAACTTAGCCTTATAATAAAGAATCTCAGAAATGTTTATAGGTTTGATTTTCATCTTAGTGCTGCCAGAAACTTTTGTACATACATGCTCTAACTAGCTTTTTTATCTGCATATTAGTCACAGTTGAGAACTCTCAACCAATGCATCAGCATATCGATTTTTTTGTTTCTCGGTGCCACTTCTATTTTACGTAACAATATAAAATTAAAATAAATCTTTGCTATCGTAACAACGCCAGGCAGTATGGTACGAATAAAGATTAGAATGTGATCTATAGCTGAAACCCACGTGACATAAAATAATCATGGCTGAGTAATGGGTTTTGCTCAAAATTTCATACCTACATTGAATAATCGCGGTGAATTAAAATAAGCCATTAAACAGGCGATTAACGTTTGAAGATTTATGCTAAATGAGTGTTTAAATAATGCTAATTGGGACTTGAAATATTCAACTTGAGGTTTTAAGTTAAATTAAGGACTTAAAACTTCACAATTTCAGAGGACATGTGATGTCATTGAAATCATTTGGCTCTGATAGACAGATAGAGATATTGAAAGCCAATGAAATAATCCCACAATATTAACATCTTTGCCTGAAAATAAGGCACAGAAAACTTCTGTCTGTATTATTATCTTCTAAATACCTCTATTCCCACAAATTATTCCTGAAACAAAGTGCATAACTAAGGGCGATATTAGCGGACCTTTTTATGCCGCCGCCGCCCTCACGGCATAACGCGCACAAAAAATGTGACACTAACTGTGAGAGGGGTAAAAGGCGACCAAAAGTTACTGTTATTGGCTATAAGCGCGCCATATCTCGCGGTAAGTGTGCTGGAGGAATGGACTCGCACTATAACGGTTTTAGTATCGGAAATGATTAGATTATGAGGATTTGTATTACTGCTTGGTTATTACTAGGTACTCTATTTGATTTCAAGATATTTGCAATTTTTCAGGTTGCCTGTATTTTCAGGTTTATGGAGTATTCTTTCATTGAATACTTATTTTTACTACCGTGCATCGATCTACTTCAATCGACTGCTGATATATTCCAAGTGTCGATCTACGTAATAATATTCTTCAATTATTCCCATCCCACCGCTACCTGCCACACAAGACTCGATCAACAAAGATTTTTCAGAGGCTTTAGCTGTACAGATAGCCGGCTACCTTTTTTTTTAAATCATCATCATCATCATCATTTCAGCCATAGGACGTCCACTGCTGAACATAGGCCTCCCCCAATGCTTTCCATGTTGATCGATTGGCAGCGATCTGCGTCCAGCGCTTCCCTGCTACCTTTACGATGTCGTCGGTCCACCTTGTAGGTGGACGTCACACGCTGCGTTTTCCGGTACGCGGCCTCCATTTTTTTTAAATATTTTATCATATTTTTGGTAACGTTGTCATGGGTGGTTTACTTTTCATATAGTGCAGGTACCTGAAAAGGCATTCCAGCCCATAATATGTTATTAGACAGTGCCTACTTAGTACTTAAAGTATATTTTTACAGGGTTCCGCTGATTTTACAGCCCGTACATTTAGCTATTGTTATGTGTAAACTCAATTACCATAAATAACGAAGTTTTTCCTCAATCTATCTTTCAATCGAGGTGTTTACTTCACGCTTGATGTCTTTTGGATAATTAATTTCCTAAGAATAATTATATTATTATTCTTAGAAAGTGAAGCCATTTTTTCTGTGTCGATTTAAGTTAGCTTTTTGTGAATCAGTGCCGACTCTGTAGATCTATCACGTGAGTAGCAAACTATTAAGGTCCCAACCCTAGTGAACACAGGTATAGGAACAAGTAAACCATAAGTATACGAGTAGTAGATTCTGACATGACTTCTCCGGACCGACTAAGCTAAATTAAAACGCGCTACATTCAACGGTACCAAAATAGCATTTAGGTATGTACATTTTCGCAATTTCTTGATAAATCACCAAGGTTCTTGCATTTAATAATAACTTCCACTTTCGGCGAAGTTTAAAAATATGAAGTTAACGAGCACACGCACCCGCCCCGCTTGAGTGATTAATTAGTCATGATTATTCCTGAAACGAAGTAAATTTATAATAAGCTCCTGAAGAAAAGGCCTACGGTGCTTATGTATTTTTCGCCCTCCAAGAGAGTGAGGCACTTTAATTAAACGGTGTGACGGTTTTCCTTGGTTACGAGAGATTAAGTTTGATTCCCCATAGAGTCTACTATTGAGTATAATTATATTCTGTAATTAATGTAATTCTGTCAATTAATTTGAAATATCACAGGAATGTTTGTAATTAGTCTTCTGTGTTACTGAGATGCACTGAACACAACGCACTCATGATGTGGGTACCTACATGATCTACTCCATTCAATAATTAATTACATATTCGATTACACTGTTAATGAAACGTCATCGGATTGTGATAGATACAGTTGTTAAAGGGGATTGTCGTACCTATACTGATTGCTTACTGAAAAATTTGAATTGAAATTGTTGGATGAAATTAAAAATTAGTGTTTTAATTACTCGATGTTGGAAGAAGAGTACAATGGAAAAACTTTATAATTTGTAGTAATGAAGAAACTTGATGAAATAACCCAATTATGAACAACTTGGGAACTAATTGCAGACTTATAGAGAAGTTTGTGACGCTGTGTACCTAACTTCGTATAGTAGGTACAGGTACAAATTAAAGTTCAGTGACCGAAAATTTGTGAATAAATTATGCACATTAACTGGTACGTGACAAGCACGTGTAATGTTTTGATAACTGATGATCATTTAATGAGTTTGAAATAATGTACCTAGTGGTAATTTGACTAGGGAGGCCATTAGTTCGATCTCTATGTACTATTTAATTATTGCGGTGAAACTAAATTTAATTGAAGTTAAATTTAGTCAGGATTGTAACTAGTAGTGTGATTGATTCAGAATCAACACAGAAACTTGTTGTTTTAAGGCCCACACCTAACAGTGAAGCTTCGTGCTTAATGGTCTGTGAGGGAAAATTCATTGTTCGCAAGCTTACGGAAAATACGTTAGAAAATAAAACATTTATCTACTCCTGTAAGTAGGAACCATAAAGACGCCTCAAAATATGCAAATTCACTCATACTCGTACCAATTATCTAGAAATCTAGTCAAAGGAGTACCTATATTGCTAATTAATGCTGAGAGGCACTTTGAGCACTTGAGTTAAAGGTAGCCGCATATACAGTCATATGTATATTATACATAATCACCTACGTCATAAATATGACTGTGCTGGAAGCTCTGGGTTTTGGCTATAGACTCACCCACTGCGACATATTGCAGCGCCTCTGTAGCAATTTCGTCGTGATGCAGCGGCGATACATTTTGCTGCCGATTAAAGATACGTCAACTGCAGCGATGAAGCGCTTTAGGAGCACGATTGACTATCGATGTAAATGCTTTATAGACTCGATCTATTGATACAGCTACAGATTACCTAAAATACCCTGATATTAATTTTTATTAAAGATTATTAGTATGTAATTTGTTATTGCACAAATTACTAATACCTACCCCCGTTAGCCCCTCGTACTAAGCTAAATAATGCTTGTATCACAATTGTTTGTTTACTGTCGCAAATAACAGAGTGATGATCCGGTTTCCTATAAAATACTTCGACATCAAACAATGATTTCGAAGTTCTACACTAGTCATTAATTCGAAATTATCTTTATTTATTAATCAAATTTCTATAATCGGTTATTCGCATGTGTACTATAAATTGAAAGCTATTTTGCGATTATCCAGTAGTGCCCAATGAGATAGCATTTAATTAGATTATAGCCGTTCGATATTATTAACGATTAATGTGTTTAGAACCAGTGAGCACGAACGCACAAATCTAATTTTGTGTTTAATTAAGTTATCTCACCTGAGGTAGGATATTTAATTGAAGTTTGAATTAGATTACACGAGGAGCAGGAGAAAAACGTTTTCCTAATTAAAACATCTTTTTATAAAATAAGTTTGTTTAAGTCTGTTGAAATGCC